CACACACACACACACATACACACACACATACACACACACACACACACACACACACATACACACATACACACACATACACACATACACACATACACACACACATACACACACAGTTCACACACACACACAGTGTCACACACACACACAGTGTCACACACACACACACATACACACACACACAGTGTCACACACACACACAGTGTCACACACACACATACACACACACACACACAGTGTCACACACACACACAGTGTCACACACACACACAGTGTCACACACACACTCACACACACACACATACACACACACACATACACACACACACAGTGTCACACACACACTCACACACACACACACATACACACACAGTGTCACACACACACACATACACACACACACACAGTGTCACACACACACACAGTGTCACACACACACACACACACACACACACTGTTGTTGGGTGCAGTCCCTGGGTGAAACAGGCACTGAGCAATGGTAAGAGTGACCCCAGGTGGAAGGCAGGACAGAGGAGGGCCCCCAGGAGGGACAGCCTTGGAAGCCCCAGGCTGGGGTTGGCTGTGCCCACTGGGTAGAGGGGAGTTTCCTGGGCTGAGGCCAGGCTGGTGGCAGGCAGTAGGTGAGCCGGAAGCACCTGGAGGGGCCAGGGCATGAGCTGGCGATGTGGGCGAGTGGGGCAGGAGGCTGGGAGCCCATGGCACTGCACCATGTTGGGCGGCCAGGCAGTGGAGGCCTCAGTCACAGAGGGAGCCACTGGGCAGGGCACCGTCACTCCCAGGCGGGCACCAGGCCGCTGTCTGGATGCAGCTACAGAGCCCTTCCTCCACCGCATCCTCCCGCGCCCCCTCCTGGGGAAGTTTGGCACTACAATTGCGGGGAAGGAGGACTGTTGTAGCCAGTAGCACTCAGGGGAGGACACAAGGGACACCGCCCAGCACCGAGTACAAGGAGGATCCACCTCAATGTTAATGTGCCGGGCGGGAAGCCTGGAATGAAGGCATAGCATCTAGCAGGTGAGGCTAAGCGAGGAGTTGGGTGGCACCTGGACACAGACACCCAAGACTGTACACAGACACTTCCCTGACCAATTCACCAGCTCCCCGTCCTCCCATCCTTCTCTCCACAGCTTCCATAGCCTTGGTTTGCTCAGAACTCTCTACTCCCCTGGCCGCAGGGCGTTTGAACGGCCGTCCCCTTTCCTCAACTGCGTAAATCCTCAGATCCCAGAGCCAGCGTCCCTTCTAGGAACTGGTCTCCCCATACCCAGACAAGCCGCTACCTTGTAGGCCTGTGTGACCCAGTGACAGAGTCCTGTGTCCCCACCAGCACGCAGGGCCCACGAGGAGACAACTCCCTGTCTAATCTCTACGTCTCTCCAGACACGTCCTGGGTGACACTGGAGGAGCGAGTGAATGGATGAATGATGAAGTGGGTATTGTGTCCATCTCCCACGATTAGTCACCAGAAAGGAAACATCTGCCACCGGCCCCTCCCTCGGCCGCGAGTGCCAAGCACCTGTCATCAAAGCTCCCATCCCTTCCTGTGGAAGGTGGGCTGCTCGCCAGGCCCCTCCCAGATCACCCTCATGGGACGACCAATGTCCCCGGCCCCACAGGCTCTGAGCAGCACTGACCCAGCTTCTGGGCATCCCAGCATTGAGCAGAAACAAATGCAGAGTGTGAGGTTCGTGAGCAAGGTGTCCACCTGGAGGTGGGGCTGGAGGGGTGGTGCCCAGGGACAGATGAGTCACAGGGAGCTCAAACTCCTCTCATCTGAGGACCTCTTCATACGGTTGTTTACCAAAGAAAACCAGAGTGAACCTGGTGCCAAACACAGAGTCACTGGTGTCCCCATCCTCCTAGGAGGATGCCCTCAGTCCTCACTCCGCCCTCTGCCAGCCACTGGCCACCTCACTCCCCTCCCCACATCTGGGGAAGCCCAGCCAAGTGGCTCTCTGTCCCTCCCCTCGGCCTCTCTGTCCCGGGAGAAGGGAGAGGACAGGAAGGCAGATACCACAACTGTGTCCTTCCTGTCCGGCTGGCCTTTTAGGAAGAGGCTCCCCTTGCCCTGTGCCTTTCCATGTGACTGAAGTTTTACAAGCACATGTTGCTTTTAAAACCAACCCACTTTCCTTTTTTTTTTTGGCACCACTGTGGGGGTCGAACTCAGGGCCTGTGCTTGCTTTGCTAGGTGGGGGCTCCACCACTGACCCATGTCTTTGGTCCTTTTTGCTTTAGTTACTTTTCAGATTAGGCCTCATTGTCCTGCTCACCTTCCCCCCAGCACTGGCCTGGGACTTAGATCTTTCTACCTATGCCTCCTGCATCGCTGGGAATGAAGCAGGCTCAAATTAGGGAAAGTTCGGGACTCAAGGAAAAATACTCTAGAATGACCATACTCTGGCTCAGAAGCCTCCCTCACCTGCCCATTCCCTTCCCCGCTCATTGATTATTGGATGGGAATCACCTGGTCCTGCGCTTCCCATGGGTTCCGGTAGCTTTTAAAAGTACCTGGAAAGGAGATGCATGTTTTCTCAGCCTCCAGATTCTGCTTGGGTCCCACCAAGAAGCTCCCCTTTGTGTTCCCTTTCCTAACTTTTAATAAACTCCATTTACACCCACGTGTCCTGCCACGGACACAAAGAATTTGGAAGTCTTCTGATCACAGACTGCTCCGTTAGCCAACAACGGAACTACAAGCACACACCACCATGTCTGGTTTGTTGAGATGGGGTACTTGCTAACTTTTTGCCCAGGTTGGTCTCAATCCTAGATTCTCCATTTATCCTCTGCCCCCAATCTCTGCCTCCTGCCTCCAGAGAGTGGCTGGGATTACAGAGGCATGAGCCACCTCACCTGGCTAGCTAACATTTGTCCCCTGGGAAATAATGGGGTTTGTGCCTTGAGAAGGATGTGATATCTGTCTTTGAAAGCTGCTGGGGGCGAAGGACTCACCTTCAGCCAGCCCAGCCTCTTCTTCTTGGCCAGCACTCTCCTTTCTTGCCTGCCTGGTGTCTCGCCCAGTTCCAAGGGTCACCTCCACACCCCGCCCTCCCTGGGAAGCTCTTGAAACCTGTCATTATGCCAGACTGTGACTCTTGTGTGGCCCGAGCTGGCAGTAACCCCGCCCTCCCTTAGTAGCCAACCTGGCCCAGCACCCCCAAGGGGGCCCTTCACCTATTCTTTCACTCACTGTCATTCCACTGGGGGCCAGGCGCCTGGAGAGGTCATGAGGACATGGGGACCCAGCCTGAGAGAGGAGTTGTCAGTGGATTTGGGAATAAATCCTGTGTCTCTTGCCAGGCGACTAGTGACTTGTGCCTGCAGTTCCCTCAGACATCACCTGTGCTCTTGGGCCTCACTGGTGTGGGCTTTGGCCTCAGAATTCCCCCAGTGACAGCCCCCAGCTTCCCAAAGTTCCTGAGGGTGGGGCCTTCGCTTTGCAAATATTGAGGCCTCCACCTCCTGGAGAGGAAGGGGAGAGACTGCCTGATAACCCTCAGCCCTCTGCAGGGGTTTTGGGGTTAATGTTTGTTACTCCTCCCAGCCCCCCAGTGGCTGAACTTGATCCAAGAATGGGGAATGGGACCCCATTGAGACCTCTGTTCTGGATTAGGTGCCCCCTGCCTCCCTAAACTTCATGGAAAATAGAGACCCCCCTCCTAAAACCAACCAGGAGCCCCTCCAGTCTCCCTCACCAGGACTAGGGGCTGGCTGTGGCCCAGGAAGCAGTTTCTCAGAGACTACCCCTAAGAACTTTCTTGGTCCCTCCCCTGTCAGGGTGTCCCTGGTTACTGGGCTGAGGCTGTTGTGTCCTGTGGCTTGTGTGGGGCATGTCCAAGACTTGCCAGTGGACAGAAAGCCCACTGGCCCCTGCTGCCTGGAGCCTTGTCGCCATCAGGGAAGTTTTGGGGATGTCAGAGGCCCCCATCCAGAGAGGGCCTGGCCCACCGAGGACAAACCTTGCTCCTCCCAGCCCATCAGAAGTGCCCAAAGACACGTACCAGAGTGACAGTGGGGTCAGCTGCAGGGCCTGGCACGGGGTGGGTGTTGGTGTTGGGGGCCGGGGTGGGTAGAGCCTGAAGGATTCTTCCTGGCATTGCATGCCAACCCATTCCTGTGTCCTGGTGGGCTTCTTCCTTCACCTTTCACCCCTTCATGCCCAGTGAAGGGCCCTGGAGTTTTGTGTGCCTGAAATACTGAGCAGAGCTGCCCCACGCAGGTAAGGGACAGACTGCTCACAGGTAGGGACTCAAGAAAGTGTGCTACCACTCTGACAGACATCCTGGAAGGTGCTCTGGACAGGGAACTGCATGTGCAAAGGGTCTGAGGTCAGGGGCGGCAAAGAGAACTGTGCCAGGATGAGGGTGGGGGAAGACAAGGGCAGAAAGGAATGAAGTCCCAGACCCTGTGGGGCCTGAGGCCATGAAAAGACTTAGCATTCGTCCAAGAGCAATGGGAACCAGTGGCCCCAATGAATGCTGGGCACCCAGGACTGACCTGTTTTAAGGAAATTGGAGCGGGGCTGCACTGGGTGGTAATGGTAGAGGTGGTGACCTAGGGTAAGATTCTGGGAACCTGTTGAAGGTGGAGCTGTGAGGGGCTGCACATGGGGAGTGTGGGGTGTAAGAGAGAGGGATCAAAGGTGATGGTGCTGTTTGAGGGCTAAGCCCCTGGGAAGATGGCGCTGAACTGACAGGTGGAGTTTTGAGGAGCACACAGGTGTGAGGAGGGTAGGAGTGTGCTGGGAGGCATGAGGTTCGGTGAGGAGCGCAGGGGAGCCATCTGACCTTGAGATGAGAAACCACCAGGGGCTGAAGTCTGGGACACCCCAGTTTTAAAGGCTCTAAGCTGGGTGCTGGTGGCTCTCACCGTAACCCTGGCTACTTGGGAAGCTCAGATTGGGAGGATCATGGTTTGAGGCCAGCTCAGGCAAGTAGTTCGAGAGACTGGTCTCCAAAATAACCACAGCAAAATGGGCTGGAGGTATGGCTCAGGTGGTAGAGCTCCTGCTTTGCAAGCACGAAGTCCTGAGTTCAAACCTCAGTCTCTCCTCCCAAAAGTAGAATTGGCCACTGTAAATGCAACAGAGAAAGTAGCAGAGATGAGGGGACAAGGGGTGCAGACAGCTCTAGGCAGACTTTCTCGTACACAGGAGCAGATAAATAGGCGGTGGCCGGTGTGTGTGTTAATTTAATTTTTGGGGACAAGGTCTCACTATGTAGCCCAGGCTGCCCTCAAACTGGACTGAGAGCCTCTTGCCTCAGCCTTCCAGGTGCTAGGATCACAGGTGTGAACCATCACCCGCGGATAACTTTCTTCTTTTTAAGGAGAAAGTTTTCAGGGCACTTGAATAGGTGAGAGGCAGGCTGTCAACTACACCGTTCATCTCTAGGCAGAACGTGGACCGTGTCCACTCAGATCTCCAGGGTCTGAGTGGCCTGACACCAAGGAATGCCAGGGAAATTTGTGGAATGAAGGTAAGAGGCCGAGAAGTCCTTATGCGTCTCCGGGATCTGTCCAGCCGAGAAGCGGGCTGGAGCAGAAGCAGCGAGTGTAGACGAACCCTTCTCTGCCGGGATCTTGGATGCCGCATGGGTAGGAGGGAGCTGGAGTCCTTAGAGTCAGCCGAGCTCCGATCTTGGTCAGGTTCCTTGCTCCTCGTGGGCTCGGAGATCCTGGGTCTGAGCTGTTGGCCGCGCCGGACCCCCCAGGATGCGGAGCTTCCCTCCAGCCGCGTCCCCGAGGAACCGGCGACCCCCGCCCGCGGTCTGGACCAGCGTTCGCCCCAATCGCCCGCGCCCCTGAGCGCGGACGGCTGCAGTTTGGCCTCTCTGTCTGGGAGGCTGGAATCGTGCATTTCCAGAAAGTTGCACCTTGGCACCGCGGCCCCAGCCCACTTCACCCGGCCGGCGCGGAGGGCCGCGCGGGGAGCTGCGCTGGCCCGGGGTCCCCAGGCGGCCCGCGCCGCCGCCAGTTGCCGGGCAGAGCCGCACCGCGCACGCTCCCATTGGCCTCAGGTGGCCGAGCCCCGCCCGACAGGTAGTCGGCCCCGCGCGCGCCATTGGGCCGCGGCCGCGCCGTCCCCCGAGGATTGGCCCAGGTGGCGGCCCCGCCTATCCCTCATTGGCCGCAGGTGCCACCGCCCCCGCCCCGGGACCGCCTGCCCCTTGGATTGGCCGCCGGCTGGCCCAGTCGGCCATTTTCGGACACCGCCCCCCGCTGGCCACCAGGCTTTGCGCGCGCTCCCCTCCCTCCGGCCCTCGCGCGTCCCCGCCAGCCGCGCCCACCCCCGCCCCGCCCGCTGCCCAAGTTCCGCGGAGTTGGCGCAGCCGGCACTGTCGGTCCAGCGCCGCGCGCTCCCTTCCGCATTCCGCCGTGCGTTCCACCGGGCACCCGGGCCCGCGGCAGGGGCCCCGCGCCATGGCCCTAGTGCCCGGGGCGCGGCGCTGACGGCGGCCGGCCGAGCGCGCCATGCCTAGCAGGACGCGTCCCAAGATGGACGGGAGCGGCGGCCGTGTCCGCCTGAAGGCGCACTACAGCGGGTGAGCGCGCGGCGCACGACGGCCGGGCAGCGGGTAGCGCGGGGCGCACGGGGAGGCGCATCGTCGGGGCCGCGTCGTCGCCGCTGCGGGAGGGAGGGACGCACGGGGCGGGGGGGGACAACGAAGCGAGGCTTCTCCCAGCCCAGGGGCGTCCGGGAGGTCCTGGCACTGCAGCGTCGACCCGCGACCCCAGGCGAGGCTGCGCCCCAGAGCCCTTGAACGTCACCTGCGGGAGACCCCGAGGGCAGGGCGGGGTCCGCAGGTCCCTACCCGGTGCGGCGGCGACTCCTCGCATCCCGCGTCTGGGTTTCCCTGGGCTCCGACTTTTCCCGGAGGACCCGGCGGCTTGCGCGCTCCTCAGCCCTGGCCACTGTTGACATTTCTACCAGAAAGTTTGCCAGGGACATTAAGGCCACAAACCTATAAGGACCAAAAGTTTTCATCAAATTGTGAAAACTCAGTCTATGAGCCTGGTGAAGGGCCCGCGGGTGAGCGCCCGCGGTTGTGCGCATGGGGGTCCCTGGCTCTTGGGACCGCTTGCTTTGGGGACAGGACTTTCTGGAGTCCTCCAAAAAGCAGACAGTTCAGTCCTGTGTTTCTCGGAGACAGCCCTGATGAAGTCCTCCATCAGTTCGACCTGCTGGAGGTCGAGCAGCAGACCTGTTTTGGGCGCTGACCGCACCCTGCACCCTAGACTCCACCTGTCTCACCGTGAAATGGGGTGAGGGGGACCTCGCAGGTGTCTGTCAGGGAGCCACTGGCTGCCCCAAGAGTGCTGGTCCGGAGAGGCTTGGGAGCTGTGTCCCGTTGGTCGCGTTGGCACAGCGGGAGGGTGCCAATATCGCTGCCCTTTGTAGACCTGGAGTGGGGGAAGACTGACCGATTCATTCCTTCCTCCTTGCACGGTGTTGTGTCTCCAGGAGCCGGAATGTAGGTCAAGGGTCACTACTGCTGGGGAGGGCGGGGTGGAGCTGAATGCTTGCCCTGCAGGTGGACAGTGCTGCCCCTCTTCTGGCACATCAGGTCACTCAGGCAGGTGCGGTGTCGGCAGTGCCCTCTGACCCTCAGTCCTGAGGAGCTGCTTGGCTCTGGTGTGTCTGGAAACACTCCAGCCTACTGCCGCCCCCTCTGGCTGTCACCTGCAGGTCCTGGTGGGGTGTGGGGTCATAGCCCAGCCTGGAGGAAGAGGGATGTCCAGGGGAGGGCAGGTGAAAGCTGGGAGGTGTCCTCGGGCCCTGGGAACACTCTGGCTTCTGTCAAATTCCAGGCTGGGGGTCCCTTCTTGATCCTTACTTAGAGGAAGCCCACGCGGAGGGACTCAGGAGTGAGTGGACACTGAGCCCTCCGGCTTTCCCCCAAAGCAACTCCCTGTGCACCTGGGGTCCTGGACGGTGCCCCCAGCCCTGGGTGGAGCCGCTCTGCCAGCCCCTCCCTCTATTTGGCCTCAAGGGAGTACTTTAGTTACCGCCAGTAAGCCAACCTGTTGACTCTGGTTTCCTGGGCTGATAAAGTGGAGCCCTCCTCCCCTTCCTTTTCCTTCCCCTACCCCTCTCCCTCCCCTCCCCTTCCCCAGTCTTTCCTCTCCTCCTTCCCCTTCTCTTTCCCCCTCTTTTGCCTAACCCTCCCCACCACTCCTTTCTCCCACTCCAACTTCTCCACTCCTGCCCCTCCCCCTCCAGGAGAGGCTCCTCCCTTCCCCTCCCCCTTTCCCTGAAGTCCACAGGTGGAATGCCTCTGCAGGGCCGACAGACTCCAGGCGGTGATGTCTGGGAAGCACCCACCGAGATCAACCCTTGCTTATCAAAAGCTGTGGATCTGCGTAAAATTCTGCCCAGGAAGGCAGCCAACCTGGGGTCGGATGCTGTCCCTGAGGGAGGCTTCAGGGTCATACTGAACTGTTCTCAGAAAGGACAATGGTATATATGATGGCCACCTGTCCCCCCATGGTGGTCACTCAGGAGTTTGAGTGGTGCTGGGTAGACTATTTTCAGGGGGTTCAAGGCAAGCCTGATTTGGGGACTGTGCTCCCAGGCTGAGTCTCAGGTGCTGCTTTTCTGAGCTCTGGACACCACAGCTGCTGTGCCTCCCTTGCTCTTGCTTGGGCTTTTTTTTTTTTTATATACAAGCTTCAGTGTCTGAGGACCTGCTGGGACCCTTGGCGATTCAGGGATCCTGAAGGAATGGTCCAGTCAGGCTGCTACTGCCTTCTGGGGCCATTAAGGATCAGCCGCCACCAGAAAGCCTCTGTGCAGCGCTGTCTTCTGAGGAGCTCAGGGGCGCTGGGTGACTCAGGGTTGGGATGTGACACGAGGTGGTGGTCCAGCTTGGTGTGGTCACTTATGAAGCCCTGGGGTTTCACAGGATCTTCTTGCCTGTCCTTTAGGAGCTGAGGGGTGGGATTGGGAAGAGGTCAAAGAAGGGACAGTAGTCCCCACTTGTGGAGGTCCTGGTGGCAGGACCGATGGATGCTGAATCACAGGTGAGTGTGTAGGGCAGTGTGTGTACCAAGTTTGAGCAAACTCAGGTGACAGAAAATTGGGGATGGGAGTTTGGTTAGCCAGGGGTCCTCTCTATGCTGCAGTAAAAGACAAGCTCGGTTGAGCTCTACCAGGAGTGAGGGGACCGGTTCTGGGTGACTGGGGCATTTCCCCCCAGTCTCCCGGGGTGGTAAGTGAGGCCAGTGAGCCAGACTGGTCCTCAGCTGATCTGCTGGGGGCTTGACAGGTGCCAGGGGGATCCTGAGTCCTGGTTGTTCTGAATTTATTGTCTCGGAACAAAGATTTTGTTTACAAAAGTTTATGTGATAGAATTCAGACAGCTTGGCAGGGAAGCCAAAGAGTTAGCACCAAGCAGAACCCATATTCTTGTTGTTTGGGGCATTTTAGAGCTTTTCGGGTTTCCTTCTATAGGCCCTGTACTCCGGGTGTTAGATACTAACCTCAGAGACTTCGGGGAGGGTGTGGTTCCCCCTGTTTCCATGGAAATGAGTTGCACCCTGAGTTCCTTTTCTCCGTTAAGCCCTCCACTCACTCTCTTGGGAGGGGGGGTTGTCATTTCCCTGTCACCAGTGAGAGGCCTGCTAGGAATCCCTGGTACTTTTCTGCTTTCCAGGTTTAAATTCCATTTAGGGGTGAAAACATAAAAGGCAGCGACATCTGCCTGGTTTTCCAAAAACTGCGCTTGGGACTGTGTCACAGCCACACCTAGGTCAAGTCATCCCTCCAGGGCTTAGAAAATTACCTTGGATTATTAAGTTATTAATTTTGCACCCCGGGAGCCCTCACTTCCCTGAGTGACGTGCCATGGTTTGCACACTTGAGATTTGGGAAGCTTGACCAGGTTCTTTCACCTTAATGAAACCAGTCAATGGCTTGAGCTGACCGGCTGTGTCCACCTCCTGGGGTCACCTTTGGGCCAACCTCAAATCTGGTGCCCAGCAGATGCAGTTGCCTGGCTTCCTTCCACTAGGGGGTGTGATCTGACATCTTGACCAGGTTCTTCCCACCAGGG